AATAAATCACTTTTACTTTTTTATAAAAGTATATACTACACTATAAAATAAATTTTTATAGTGTATATATATAATATATATAGTATATATAGTATAATATTTAATAATTTAATTTTTTCAAAATTCAACGTGATAATTTATTTAATAATAGATTTAATAATAGATTTAATAGCTTGTTTTTTCTTTAAATGAAAGAATAAATTGAAAATAATGTAGAAGAGTAACGTATATATATATACATAAATGATTTCATCAGTAGTTCTAAAATAAGTATTATATAATTTTAATAAATAATAATTAAAAAAGTAAAGTAAATAAATTAATTTTATTCTAATATTTAAACACTACATATAAATATACATATATAATCAAAAATCTGAAACACTTATATATATAAAATTTGAGAAAAAAAGAAAAATTCAAAGAATTTATAACATTCTAAGTATATTTCTTATGTGGCCATATTTTCTTTTGATAATCCTTCAAACTAACTATTTATTTTTTGTTATTATAATTCTCTGTAAATCTTATGATAAATTTTCATTTTATGAAACAGTCTATTTTATAATAAACAATAGCAAGAAGCACATAAAAAGATATTATGTTCGATTTCAATTCACTATATCTAATATAATAAAATTGCAGAATATAAGTTTGTATTAACCAATAAGGGCACAACTTAAACGATAAATAAAAAACTATATCACATGAAAGAAAAAGAAATTAAGAAAGATTTGCATTGAAACAGTAAAGTTAAAAAACTATCATAAATCAAATATTATTGTTTTACTAGAATTTTTTATTCGATAAATCTATTTGTAATAAAAATCTCTAAACACTTTCAACTACAGGTGACTGTGCTTATTTTTAAAATATAAATAATATATATATATATAATATATATATAATATATTTTTAAAATATATATAATATAATGTGATATATCATTCGATACTCTGTTTAACGAAACGAATTAGGATAAAAACAAACTAGTTATAAAACTTGCAATTTTAATATTTTGACATTTACTCTATTGATATCTGAATATTATGTAAATTATGTCGATATTCATGAATTTTAGCTATTATTAAACAATTATCTATTTATATTCATTTATTATTTATGTACATTATTGTGTTGTTTATATTTATTATGTTATATTTAATATAAATTATTTATATTTATATACAATAAATAATGTTATAATATAATAAAAAAATTAATATTTTAATGGAAAAAATAATTTTTTATTTTATAATATTTTAATATTGTAAGGATAATCTTTTTTCCCTAAATTTTGACACGTGGTTTTATTTATATTTCCTGACTCGTTTCGTTGGATACATATATATTTCTGTAGTATGTAATCCATAATCCGGTATTATAATCGAATGCTTATCTAATAACTGGCTGAGAAATTGAATGAACGAAGAAGAATTAATGCAAAATAAAATATATATTTTAATAAAATATTGATTTTTATGTGTGCGTTCTTTATTGCATTTTTTATATATAATGGCTAAAATTTTTTTAATTTTTAGTGATAATAATGCATTCTAAAGTTTCTGTCCCGCCTAAATGGTTATCACGTGCATGTGTTTACAGCTACTGTTTCTATTCGTTTGACGGACTATGGATGAAGTCAACATGGTGTCATAGTAAGTTGTATATTACATTTAATTTTAAAATATATACATTTTAAAATGAATAATTTTTTATACTTAAGAATAGTATTTTTTGATCCTATTCATTAAATACTCAAATATTCAAAAAAATGTAAAAATCGGTTAAAAATTTTTGGTGCATTCTTAACACGAAGTTTAATCTATTTAAATATTTAATATTTTTAATATATATTTTTAGATATATATACACATTATTATTTTATTAAAAAATAAAAAATTAGAATATATTATAATTAACTATATTTGTTTAGTCCTGAACATTATTCATCCGAAAGCTATAGCTCTCCAAGTACATCACAACCACAATATCAAGAACAAACAAGTTTTGAAAATCAATCCCAATTTGAACAACCTATGACACCAGCAACTCCAACTAATATGAGGATTACAAGAAATACACGAGCTAGATTACGTGGTATGATTCAAAATATATTACTTTATTATATTTTTGATTAGTGATTTTTTATAGGAGGACCAATACAGCAACCAAAATATAAAGAAATAGATACAGATTATATTCCAACTATTAGTAGTACTAGAGGAAGAGGAAGTAGTGGACGAGGACGTGGAAAACGAACACATCATTCACATAGTTTAGAAGATGAAGCTAGTCTTTATTATGTCATTAGAAACAATCGGTCTTCATTAACTGTATGTTGATGTTCACTCATGTTCGAAAAAATTTCATCAAATGTTTGAATTAAAAAAATTATCATGATAAATATATAAATTTGTAAATATTTATAGATATAATATTATATATTTGTATATATTTATAAATATAATATATATATATATATATATACACATACACATATATATATATATACACATATGAATATATTCTTTTCTTTTAGACTATTGTTGATGATTGGATAGAAAAGTATAAAAGTAATAGAGAAAATGCTCTCCTTATGTTAATGCAATTTTTTATCAATGCAAGTGGATGTAAAGGACGTATCACATCTGAAATGCAAACAACAATGGAACATGTAGCAATAATTCGTAAAATGACTGAAGAATTTGATGAAGTATGTCGATAATATTTTTTGTAAATAATTAATTTTTACATTCAAATTATAATTTATTATAATAATTTATTATAATATAGGAAAGTGGAGAATATCCATTGATAATGACTGGTCAACAATGGAAAAAATTTCGTGCAAATTTCTGTGAATTTGTTCAAATTTTAGTTCGACAATGTCAATATTCAATCATTTATGATCAATTTTTGATGGATAATGTAATTTCATTATTAACTGGTCTTTCAGATTCACAAGTAAGAGCTTTTAGACATACTGCTACACTTGCGGGTAAGATATATATTTATATTCATACTTATATATAATCAAATTTATACACATGAAATAATTTTTATTTGAAATATTAATATATTTTACTATTTATAGCTATGAAACTCATGACAGCATTAGTAGATGTTGCTTTAACTGTATCGATAAATTTAGATAATACACAACGGCAATATGAAGCTGAAAGACAAAAAGCTAGAGAAAAAAGAGCTGCAGATAGATTAGAATCATTAATGGCCAAACGAAAAGAACTTGAAGAAAATATGGATGAGATAAAAAATATGCTTACATATATGTTTAAATCTGTATTTGTACATCGTTACAGGGATACATTACCAGAAATTCGCGCAATTTGTATGGCAGAAATAGGAGTATGGATGAAAAAATTTCATCAAAATTTTTTAGATGATTCTTATTTAAAATATATAGGTAATATAATTTTGTTACATTATGAATTTATAAAAATATTTTGCAATATTTATATAAATTTATCATAATTTTTTAGGTTGGACATTACATGATAAAGTTGGTGAAGTTCGACTAAAATGTCTTCAAGCTTTGCAACCACTATATGCATCAGAAGAATTGAAAACTAAACTTGAACTTTTTACTAGTAAATTTAAAGATAGAATTGTTGCCATGACATTGGATAAAGAATATGATGTAGCAGTACAAGCAGTTAAACTTGTTATTTCAATTTTAAAACATCATAGAGAAATTCTTACTGATAAAGATTGTGAACATGTATATGAACTTGTTTATTCATCACATCGTGCAGTTGCACAGGCAGCGGGTGAATTTTTAAATGAACGGTTATTTCGCCCTGATGATGAAGCAGTAGCAGGTGTGAAAACTAAACGTGGAAAAAAACGTTTGCCAAATACTCCTCTTATTCGAGATCTTGTTCTATTTTTTATTGAATCTGAACTTCATGAACATGGAGCATATTTGGTAGATTCTTTAATTGAAACGAATCAAATGATGAAAGATTGGGAATGTATGACAGACTTATTATTAGAAGAAGCTGGACCTGAAGAAGAAACTTTAGATAATCAAAAAGAAACATCTTTGATTGAATTAATGGTTTGTTGTATAAAACAAGCTGCTACAGGTAAATAAAAATTAAATATATAAAATGTTGTTATATTAATTATAATTGTAATATATTTTGTTTAATTTTTAAAATAGGTGAAGCTCCCGTTGGTCGGGGACCAACTAGAAAAATTTTATCAGCAAAAGAAATGAAACAAGTTCATGATGATAAACAACGGTTGACAGAACATTTTATACAAACACTACCTCTTTTACTTGATAAATATCGAGCAGATCCTGAAAAACTTGCAAATTTACTTGCTATTCCTCAATATTTTGATTTAGATATTTATACAAAATCTCGACAAGAGCAAAATTTGGATTCATTATTGAATAAAATTCATACAATTGTAGAAAAAATGCACGATACTGAAGTTTTAGATACAGTTGCAAAAACATTGGAACATATGTGTATAGAAGGACATGCTATTTTTACCAGGTAAAATTTTATGTTTTTCATTATATATAATGAAAATTTCTTAAAAGAATATTTATTATTTTATATTTTTTTAAATAGGTGTGACGTAGCGCGATCAACATTAATTGATTCTATTGTAAATAAATATAAAGAAGCTATAGATGAATACAGAAATTTAATAGAAGGAGATGAAGAACCAGATGAAGATGAAATTTTCAATGTTGTACAATCTTTAAAAAAAGTTTCAATATTTTACTCTTGTCATAATATGAATCCATGGGGAATATGGGATTCTTTATATAAAGATATTGAAGATGCCAAAGATCCATCCAAGTAATAATATTATATATTTTGCACATATGAAAATTTTATTTGTAAAAATATGAATATTTCATTATAGATGCTTACCACATGAAGCAGTTAAATATTGCATAAGTGCATGTTTTTTTGCAATTTTATGGGGACAAAATCATCTTATGGAAGCTGCAGATTCTGGAAATCGAGGAGAAGATGAATGTCGACAATTAAAAGAACGTTTACATTCTTTTATGGGTTCTATGCGTTATTTTGTCAGTGGTGACGTAAATGGCGCGGTAATTACATTATTTTTATATTTTTTTTTTAGTATATTAATGATATATAATATTTGTTAATTTTATTTTAGCCATTTCCACCTATTTTGAGAGAAGAAGCATACAATACAATATGTGATTTATTAGTAGTATTTTGTAATCAATTAACAACACATTCTAATCCTTTAATGCATCAATTAGTATATGAACCTGATCAAGCAATGCAAAATATGCTTAATCGATTTATAGAAGAATATGTATTTTTTGAAGAAGAAGATGGTATGTCAGTATTAATTTGTCGAATATATATATATGTGTATATATATATATATATATATATATATATATATATAT